TCTGTTCGCTCTGAAATCAAAAGTGATCACTCATCGTTTCTTACTTCGGTCACCTCTCGCTTGATAAGCTTCAGGCTGATGTGGCCATGGAAAACAAGATAATGGACGAACTTGCTAGAAAGACTACACAAGTTGAAGTCCAGGCTGCTCAACTTGCTCAAGCTCAAACGGAAATTGTGTCACTTAAGAATGAGCGGGTAGTTCTCAAAAGTAGTGTTGGGGATGTTCTTTTGCTTTTAAACCATCTTATTAATGCTCATGATCTTGTTCTCACCCTTACAATCAGGAATCACTTGACAGCCAAACTCATTCCTGCTATTGAAATGTTGAGTCAGATTCAGGGTGTTACGGAGCCTGTGGTCACTCCGCAACAAGGGGGAGAAACTGAACAAAATTCCCCAATTCTACCCAAAGTCATTATCACAACCGAACCGAAGGTTAATGTAGCTTCGGGTTCGGGTGGACAGGAAAAACTGAAGGGGGTCATGGAAGATAGTGATGATGATGAAGAAGAAACAATTGCTGAAGCGTTAAAGAGGAAGAAACGAGATAAAGAGATTGATGAAAATATGAAAATAGCCAGAGAGGCAGAAGAAAAGGAGCGAAAACAGAAAGAAGCTCATAATGCTCTGGTTTGCAAACAGGCTCTCTTTCCCACCTAGACCAGGGAAAGACTAATAAAAGAAGCAATTGAGTCTCCCAACATTCACTGGCTGGAACCTGTTGCTTCGTTTGATTGTGAAAATACGAAGGATTCGCAATTTGACATGCCCATCACACATAGGGCATTCGAGTTTCATTGTTTTAATCCAACAGTCGAAGTCCCTTCTCCTCACCCAAAGGTTGATAAAGATTTAATCGATTTTTATCTTGAATTTGCTCAACCCCAATACTTGACATGGAGTGCTCAGAAAATAACCTCTGTCAAGGTATTTAAACTGAATGTTGCTGGGAAATTCATCAATGTGAAGTTCAGAGTGACCCAAGGCTCTGATGACTCGATTCACATGATTTCGTTAGCTGATCTTCCAAATCTGAACCCACACGATTGGATTTTATGGTTCAACATTCTGCTTACTGATCAAGAACATTACGAGCCGATCCTAGATCACATAAAGAGAATGTTGGCTTCCTACATTCATGAAGTTGCAAAGATGGATCAGGAAGTGGCAAATGTTTTGAGGAAGAAACCGACCGTGAAGCCCATTGGGAAGCCAAGTGATCTCAACAAGATGAAGATGGGTAAGATTGATCCGACACATCTCACTGTCATGTTCACAAGAGCCGAAGGTGAAAGATTTCTTTTCGCTCTTGTTGACAAACATCTGTTCTCCACTTCTTGTTTGGAGCACATACTTGATATCACTCAAAGATGTAAATAGAACAGTGATTCAGACAAGAAAAACTTCTCTGACATGCTTCGGTGGTATATACATTTTTGTCACACTCTTTTGGCCATCATACCGAAGGTGTTCAAGACAGTGAAGAAGTCTGCTCTTTCTCAGCCGAACTAAGATCTCGCCTCTATTGACGCAAAGGGGGAGATTGTTGGGTTTAGTGTGTTGCGTCATATGGGCTTATTGTTAATATTTTGATTACCCGGTTTGGGCCTGTCTAACCGTGGTTTAAGCATTAGGGTTAGCTTATATATTATGCATGCATGTATAGCTTTGAGGTTAACGTTTTCATTAATTACTATTGCATTGTAACCCTAACCACACCTCTACAGTCGAAGTTCTTCATCGAGCTCTTCTGAGGTGTGAGATTTTAATCATTCGACATCTTTTGATCCATTCTTGTGTTCTTTGCTTTATGATTCTTGTTAATCTGTTTAGAATCTATCGATCTAATAGCGCAATATTCTCATCAATATATATATATATATATATATATATATATATATATATATATATATATATATATATATATATATATATATATATATATATATATATAAGATTTAAAGGGCTTAGGACTGATAACTCACTTTATTTCCTTTTCCTTGTTTGTATGTGGACTTAGGGTATCGGTTATTTGTCCAAATGTCGTTTAAATTTTAGTTATATATATTTGTATATGTATATAAATATAAAAAGGTTATTTCATTCAGTATTTTAATACCCTTTGTAACATGTCGAGCAAGGGGTTGCATTATTTTTCACGATTCAAGTATACTACAGTACATTATTTTTTCAAGAACAAGGGTTTGATTCAAAACTAAACAAGGGTATAAAGTTTACAATACATTTCAAGTATACAAAACAAGGAATTTACTATCAATCATTTATTTCAGAATGATTGGGTTTTCATTGCTATTATACACGTAATGTCTATATGCTTTTTATGAGTCAATGTATTCAGGTTGTTTATTTATTTAGACAACATAGTTAAAGTCCTGATATTATAACCAGAATCTCCAGTCGGGGATCGAAACAAGTTGTGTATAGATCTATATTGGGATTGACAACCCCGCACTCAGACTGCTAGCTACAGCCGGGCATACACGCCTATGAGTCACAATTCTTATCAACAGTTCCGACGTCTACAATACGCCGCATCAGGCATTCTCGTCTTAGTATGGTTATAATTGATGGGTTTTGAGCATTCTAACACTTCCTAAGTGTACATGCAACCCTAATAACCTTGAATCTATGTTTTCTCTATATACATGCAAATTTCTTTTTCAAGGTTATTTCCTAACTAGCATGGCATGGGGATTACATAAAACATAAAACTAGTAGAAATACATACCTTGTTGTTGCTTGGATTCCTTCAAGACTTTGTGAGCCTAGCACCCCAAATGTTGTGCCTCAAATGCTTCACACAACACCACAAGACTTGGAATAACTTGAGAGAATACTTCTAGCACTCAAAATTGGTTATGCCCTCTCTAGTAACACTATGTCCACTAGGTCTACTTTTTGCTAGCCATAGGGTTCCTTTTATAGTGTTGTCACAATTAGGGTTTACACATGAATGCCCTTAATTGCCATGAATCTTGATTTCCCATGACCCATGGATTTGTAACTCCCATGGACTATCCATGGAGCTCCATATGGTTACATCCATAACCCATAAACCATGGATCATTAATCCACCATAAAAGAATTGATGATTGTCATAATCAACCCTATATATTTAATTAGTTTCACTTTGATCACCAAATTAATACTAGATTAATACTTAATCAATACTAATTAAATAATACTATTATTAATATATTAGAACTTATAATATATTAATAATCATAAGTGCCTTATTCTCTCATTTAGTCTATCCAAGTATTGCAATGCCATGCAACCCAAATGGACCATGCCGGGTCGGGTCAAGTACATACCAAATAAAGTTATGGACTTAGACACTATATCCAACAATAATAACTCATTTAAAAGATATTAACAATACGGTTAGTGTATAATCAACTAAACATGAGTACATTTTCAAAGTACTAGTTTTACAAAGATACAATTTACAGTATTACATTACAGTTTACAATAACAGCTGGTGGAGCCAGGCGTACTCACTTTTACAAGTTTTACAAAAGAATATAAATACAGTATACTGGTTTACAAACAGAACAGTTTTATGGGATTAAAACTACTTTTCATATACAGCAGAAAATATAGGATTTTCTGAGATTATTTACATATTCAAAGAAAAAAAAACAAGCTTTAAAACATACATACTTATGCACTCACTCAACTTTATGTTGATACTCGCTTTTCAAATTACTTGTATTATCAGGGAATCAGTAGACAGATACTCCCCGAGCTTTTGAGAAGAAGGAGCTATTTTTGAGTCATGTCTTCTATCTTTTGTATCAATTATTTTGGTGTCAATATACAATGATTGAACACATGTATAAACTTATACTTATTAATGCAATGGTTGTTTGTACTTTGATTACTATAATGCATGTATTGTGATACTACAAATGACGTCCTCCGCCCCCGAACGCTTCCGCCGTTCCGGTTTGGGGGTGTGACATCTAACCCATACAACTAACTCATACATCCACATCCAATTCACCAATACCACTAACCTTCCCTACTCTAACCCATACAGTTAACTCATACATCTACACCCAAATCACCCATACCACTAACCTAGCCAGCTCTAACCCATATAGCTAACTCATATATCCACACCCAATTCACCCGTACCACTAACCTACCCAACTCTAACCCACACAGCTAACTTATACATCCATACCCAATTCACCCGTACCACTAACCGACCCTGCTCTAACCCATACAACTAACTCATATATCCACACCCAATTCACCCGTACCACTAACCTACCCTGCTCTAACCCATATAGTTAACTCATATATCTACACCCAACTCACCTGTATCACTAACCTACCCTGCTCTAACTCATACAGCTAACTTATACATCCACACCCAATTCACCCCGTACCACTAACCTACCCTGTTCTAACCCATACATCTAACTCATACATCCACACCCAATTCACCCATACCACTAACCTACCCAGCTCTAACTCATACAGCTAACTCATATATCCACACCCAATTAACCATATACGCCCATTAATTTATCATTTTAAATAAAAAATTATAATTATGTATAATGAAGTAATGTACAAATTAAATATCAAATTTATTATTAAACATGTAATTCTATTTTTCAATTAACCCCATACGTAGATATATATTAATACACAAATTAAAAAATAATTTTTAATTTTATGGTTACATTAAAAACATAAACACTAATGAATATTATACTTACTTAATACTATATAAATATATCATACATTTATAAATAATCATCATGATCGTCGTCGGTCGAACCGCTCCTCCTCTGCAATTAGTCGAAACTTAATGATGATAATGTGCATCGATGTCTCTTCAACTGCGATTCATCATCCCTATAAACCCTCCGATTATCTGAAAATGTTCATTCTCACAATTACTAGACATAAACCTTCATCACCGACCGACGATTATTTAAAAAGATAAAATTTATTTGATCAATGGTAGGAGAGATGAGCATCGATCCATGGGCGAAGAAAAGGTTTCAACTGTGGAGGATTACAAAGGAGCCACCGACCAACACTCCAATCGTACAATATGGGAAAGGTAACGACAACAAAATAACGATTAGAGTGGTTCATGGCGGAAATTTTAGCGATTTTCCAAGTAAATCCTATGCAAAAACATCAGTAGCCTATATTACTTGGGTCAACATCGAATTGCTAGACATGGATGATTTTTTAAAAGTTTGGGTTATGAGACTCTTGTTTACTGATATTATGTGCCCACCGAAGAGCATCAGGGTTTGACCATGAGCCCTATTATAGACAAGAATGTGTTGGGAAATTTCAAAACGATGGCTAGGGAACATAAATTTTGTGAAATTGAATACCTATACGTAGAGCACAAGACTAAAAATGTGCCAATGAATTTCACTCACTACTTGATGAACTCACCATCTAAGAGGATAGAAAAGCTTATCCATATGTTGGTCACATAAGACCCAAGGGCATCAGTTGATGATGGAATTGCATACATCAAGCAAATGCTGAACATGACAATTCCCAGAGAAAATATTGAAGATGTGATGGAAATGGCTAAAGAGAATGTGATTGCATGGAAAATGTTGTAGTGTAGGAAAGTTTAATATGTTTTAGTTAAGTTAGCTTAATCTTTGTTAATATGATATATATATATATATATATATATATATATATATATATATATATATATATATATATATATATATATATGCTCTGAAATTGTGGATGTAACACAACATTTAATATTGTAGTTATTTTGAAACTCTTTTTTGATTAAGGTAATATAACAACAATGTACTTTGGCTTTAATTCACAAATTGTCAATATTTTATTATGGCATTGTAGTATTTAGTTTACCATTTATTGTTTCTTTCTTCTTGTTATGGTATTACTTTAAACATCAGTAGATAGAAACTTGTTTATATGTTAAGCCCCAAAAACTAGTGGTTAAAAGCAATACTTTATGTTAGTGATATTATTTCACTAGTAATGTTTTATAACCACTTAAGGGTTACACATGGGTATTGTTCTAATTTTTCTAATTTGGTCAGTTTGAAGGATAAGAAGTTGATTGGACTCAAGTTACATGAGTATCATATGCTCATGCAACAATTTTTACCCATATCAATTCGGTCTATTATGCATCCACCCACCAAAGCTATTATTACCAGGTTTTGTTTCTTTTTCAAAACAATATGTAGCAAAGAAATCAAAGTTAATAAGCTCGATAAGTTTCAATAGGAGTTATGTGTGACCTTATGCCTTCTTGAGAAACAATTTCCACCATAATTTTTTGATGTGATGATTCACTTAACCATTCACCTTACTAGGGAAGTAAAATTATGTGGTCCAATATTCTTTAGATGGATGTACCCATTCGAAAGGTATATGAAGGTTATTAAGGGGCACGTATGAAAAAAAATAGACCAGAAGGGTGCATTGCGTAAGAGAATGTTGCAGAAGAGACGATTGAGTTTTGTAGTAAATGCATAAAAAATATGGATATTATTGTTCTTCCACCTGACAGTCATAACACAAGTAATGGAATTCAAAGAGGTGACGATAGTATTTCTACTATGTATGGCACTCCTTTATCATCATCTAAACTGATAGAAGTTTCTCCACCACTCTTCAGCAAAGTACATTTCTTTGTATTGCAAAATACATCTGAAGTACTCCAGTATATTATGTAAGTTGTGTACATGTATGTAAGTTTTTTGTTATTGTATACTATTGTGTTCTTTTCATATTGCAAAATATGATCCATTCATATTGGCCTCACAAGCACGACAAGTATTTTATGTAAAACACACACCTCCAAAAAATTACGTATGGGATGTGACCCGAAGATCGGTTATCATAAGGATTAGGTCCTTCAGGATAGAGAGAATCAGCCCCTTTGAGTGTGGAAAATCTATATTGGATGACCCGGGAGTTTGGTTTGTGTTCTGGAGCCCAAGGGTATATCGGTAAAGTGACATTTTGTGCATTTTATGAATTTTGGATTTATGTTCGGAAGTTTTGAGGCAAAGGAGGGTTCATAGGATTATAGATCCTCTAATTACCTTTCCAGGGATATAAAGATCATCGAAAACGGAATCGGAACGAAGAAGTTACGAACATTTAAAGTTAGAAGCATTTAGGGACTTAGTCTAGTACGCGGGGCGTACGCCTTGAGTACGCAGCACGTACTAGAGGAAAGGATCACGGGGTGCCCTTTGAGTATACCAGGCGTACTCAAGAGTATGTGGGGGGGGGGGGTACTCCAATAAGCTAGAAAACCCAAACCTTTAGGGTTTTATCCCTATTTCAGCTCATTTTTTCCCTTGAGCCTTGCCTCTTATCAGCCTCCATACCTTAAAAACCCTAATCTCGACCCTTAGCCTCCATCTTAGTGTTCTTGATCTCTTGTGAAGAATCTTAGTGTTTTCTTGTGCACTTTGAAGAGATATAAGGTTATTGAAGATTCATCACTAGGAGTGAAGTTTAGAGATCCAGAGTTGTCACCTCTTTTGCAATCTATTGAAGGTAAAAAGTTCTTATCTTGACATCTCTTCGTGTAGATCTAGTTTGGGGTGATTTATGGTGTACTAACTGAGTACGTAGGGCGTACTCAGTCAGTATTGACTTCCTCGACCTATTGACTTTTTGACTTTGATCTTTGACCAAAGGTTTTACCAGAGTTCACCTAAGGGTATTTTGGGAGCCTTTAGGAAATTGGGCCTCCTTGGATTAGGCCACGATTGGTTTTGGGCCCAATTAAGAGATTGGGCCATATTAGGCTTTTGTGTTGCTACTGGTTTGGGCTTCGGATTTTGGGCCAAGTGAGTAAAGGGTAAAATGGGCTTTTACCTTGAGTATTGGATAATCGGACCAGAATTCCATCTATGGGTTGTGGACCAACTATTAATTGGGTATTATTTGATGATATTAGCGCAAGGGTTTTCTGGATCGGTGGTCTGAGCTTTTATCTAAGATATTCAGCCGCTTGAGGTGAGTTTTCCTTACTGTACTTACGGGTCGAAGGCACCAAGGCCGGCCCATTGGATTGATATCCTGTTATACATTTATTTATGATATGCTAAATATGGGGTAGCTCTATATGATTATATGATAGTTGTTGATATACGTAGACCGGTAGATCTATAGGACTACCTGTGATTTCTGTCTATATGATTGTATTTCTGTTGAATATGTTATCTGTTATATGTCAACATTTTATGCTGGGTTGAGACTTTACTGTTATGTGCGTGAGTCAACAGACCGGGGTATCCGGTCTGATGACTGAGTGGACCCGAGGGTATTCCAGTTTCATGATTGAGTGGGCCCGTAGTATATTGGTATTCCAATATGATGACTGAGTGGACCTATAGTGTATTGGTATTCCATTCCGACGACTGAGTGGACCTGTTGTATATTGGTATTCCAGTTCAATGACTGAGTGGACCTATTATATATTGGCATTCCAGTCCGATGACACTTTGGGCCAGCGGAAATCCAGTCTGATAGTTGTGGACCCGTGGGTTTTCCAGTCTGATGACTGATTGGACGCAACATGTTTTTTTGTATGTGATATGTGAATTGTGTGGTGATACCTTGGGGGAACACACTAAGCTTCATGCTTATAGTTGTTTGCTGTGGTTTCAGGTACTTCAGATGATCGGGGAAAGCAAAGGTGTGGTCGTACACATCCTTCAGATTTTATGCTATTGGTCTTGGGAATATTCTGGTTTTGAATAATACTTTTGAAACATTGGTTTTGTAAACACTTAATAGATGAAATGGGTATGAAAAGTTAAAATTTATTGTAAATTTTGGGACGTTTCAAGTTGGTATCAGAGCACCGGTTTGAGTGAATTGGATGAACATTCATGTGAATCCAGACTCAAACTAAGGATCTTTGACAGTTTTCAAATTACTTTCAAATTAAATTCAAATTGTTTTCAAAAGCAACCATGGAAGGATGAGATGTGTACGATCAGCCGGAGCAAGAAAGTTTACTCCAAGTTACCATGCTGTTATTTGTTATGATATGATACAATTACATGCTAGTGATAGGCTAGGGATCTTCAGGAATTGGATGATAGAATTACATGATGTATGATGCATGATAGCCTAGGAGGACTTCTTATATGCTAGATGAAATTTACATTATTACTGGGGTCGCTTGGTGTGTGCATTATAGTTGTACGTAACCAAGATTCTATAGCCTGAGAATGTTTGATTTAGCTTTATTTCCTTTTCTTGTCTGATTAAGGTCTTAGGGTTGAGTCAAGTATGCGACTGTCTATAGGATCCAACATTATGTATGATTAGCATGCACGAGTGGCTGCAGGGTTGGTGGAAGTTTTATGAGTGGGTGCAGTTTATAGCAGGATAACATGAGGAATGAGTAGCCACACTTGAGAGAGTGAGGGCAGGATGAAGGTGTATCCCATATGCTTGGGCCTAGTGATCGGGAATTCCATATGAGGATCTGCCTGATTTTAGTATGTCATAGTTCTAGACGACTCCAGTCCTCGAAAGCTGCTTGCTTTGTGATTTGTGGGACTCACATTGATGTGAGCTAACTATCAAATGAATATGTTAAATTACATACTACGAAGGTTAAATAATCTTAGAGTGAAGGATTTGGTCCTATTGCACAACTCTTGTTTGAGTCTAACCATTGTAGGGTTGGGTCTTTTAGTCGAAAGATTATTTAAGTTTTGTAGCATGTAATTGTATTCGTGAAGTGGTTAGTTGGCATTGATTGGGGTCCTTCAGCAGCTGATAGCAGGGGAGGTGGGGAGTCCTAGGAGAGCCTAGGAAGTGATTTAGTGTAGATATTACACTGTTGATCAAGTGTTGGGAGTACTATTATGAGTAGGTGACTTAGAATACTCGTGAAGATTCTTGAGGAAAGTATGGATAGGTGTGGAAGGTAGTATTGGGCTCGTACTACTGGAAGTACAGGATCCAGACTCAAATCGATAAATTTTCGGGGATTCTAAGGAGCTGTTCGTGGAAGATAGCATGGTTTGATACCATGATTCATGGCAGTTTTTCCATATCTGGAAATCTTTTGGTTATGGTTGTTCTGGCATGAGGATGGGTTTGGTAATTGTTTTGGGCCTCAGGGTGATGTTAGTTGGGTTTGATTGGTTCTGACCTAGGTTAGTTTGTTGGTTTAAATGTCTCTAGGTCCTTGCTCGAGGCCGTGCTTTTAAGTCGAGGGACTCAAGAAGGAAGCGATTGTTATGATCGGCTCGAGGATTGCAGTTGGA